TGCCCTCTGATGGCTTGGTACCCTGTCCTGGGTTATTCCCTGCCTTGTGTCCTCTCATGGCTTGGTACCCTGTCCTGGGTTATTCCCTGCCTTGTGCCCTCTGATGGCTTGGTACCCTGTCCTGGGTTATTCCCTGCCTTGTGTCCTCTCATGGCTTGGTACCCCGTCCTGGGTTATTCCCTGCCTTGTGCCCTCTGATGGCTTGGTACCCTGTCCTGGGTTATTCCCTGCCTTGTGTCCTCTCATGGCTTGGTACCCCGTCCTGGGTTATTCCCTGCCTTGTGCCCTCTGATGGCTTGGTACCCTGTCCTGGGTTATTGTTTTCCTTGCCCTCCCGATCCCTGAAACCTTGTATAGGATGAGTGGATATAATAGATGGATGCTCAATTCATGAATTAACATTGAAAGAAATTAAAGATAGCTATTAAAAGTGATATAATTTGGCAAATAAAGCAATGATTTATATAATGGTTTAAAACTTCCAGTTTCAAACATCAAATGTGTCCTGTTCTCCACTGCATGCTGTAAAATTAAAAATAAAAATAATTTTGAAAAAGTCTAAATTCCTCCAAATACATGGAAAATCACAAGTAACCTAAAATCGGAAGAGACCTTTTTTCCTCAGGAGTCTCAGGAGGCTCTGTCAATCAGAACCTGGAAGATAAAGGAAAATAACCAGGGGCCGAGGCAGGATTTCTTTAGCCAGATAACTTGTCGTATTTAGATGTAAGTAGACAAAGATAAAGTAGAGTACCTGAAATCCAACAAGCTGCGTGACTACACAAGAAATCCAGCTTCATGATAAAGGCCCCTATTCTCTGCTTAGTTCAGAGTACTCCAGTTTAAATGAACTTTATTTTCGTTTGCTTGCATTTATCCCAGATTTCCTTAAATACAACAAGTTATCAATGAATCACATCTTGTGCTTACATATAGTCAGCCAGCAGCGTGCCAAATAGACTGTTGCAGATATGCTACAACAGACCAAAACAAATACATATGAATTTATGATTTACAAAAGTTTTTGACCGTTAAATTTTATTTACATTACATGCAAAAAAATGTTAGCGGATTTGCAGTTAGTGAAACTAAATTTAGAGGACGCTAATTGGTCCGCTACCAGTTTTCAAAGACAGTGGAAACACTAATCTGCTAATAAGAAATTTAGCTTTGCTAATTAGCGGATTACTGGAACCCTGCCCACCACTGGTATTAATAAACCGCAAAGTAACTCTTAGTTACTGATCTCATGTTTGTTCCTCATTAATGAATCGTGATGCATCATTTATGTCATGCACTTATATTTGTTACCATATCTGTTTATTCTGTAAACCTTTGTGAAGTAGTGAAATGTGAATAATGAATAATGTGTGAAATGTGAAATACTTAGTTCATCAGTAATGAATTGAGGGACATCTTTTATCTCAAGTAGCTACTATATTTGTTCATGTTTTGCACTTCACTACTAAGTCAAATCAAATAGGTCTTTAATTTTTAATCATACACAGTTAGTACAATATACAGTTAAAATGAAACAGTGTTTCTCTCTGACCAAGGTGCTACATAAATGAACATAAGGTACCTAGGACTGCACCTGGATCACAGGCTGGAGTGGACTCTGAACACATAGGTCCTGTACAAAAAGGGATTGGGTCACCTTTACTACCTCAGGAGACTATGGTCCTTTGATCCTAGTAGTAGCTGAGTTACTACTAAGTATTTGTGCCCCCCTCAAGTAAACCGTTACCCATATTAGCTACTCCAAAAGACTACTAAGTTACTTTTAAACACTTAAAGTTACTACACAGCACCTGCTTTCATTTCTGTAGCTAAATCACCTGTCACTGTAGAACCCAGTTTTAGTAGCATGTGCTGAAGCAGACTGAACATAAATATCCAGCAACGTAAAAATAACACTGCAGGGAACATTATGATCAGAGACATAGACCTGAAGGGTTTATCCTGATAGGTCCTAAGAGATTTCCATTATATTTAACCTGATTTTTACCAGTAAAATCTGTGTACATGGTATGTAAAAGTTGTAAACTGATACTATCCACAGTAACAGAATAATAATCAGACGCTGGCATCATCCCAAAAGGTCCAGTTCAAGGTATTAATATTTCCAGCATAAGAGCTTCCTCAAAACAACACAATGTAGCAGGAGAAAACTAAAGTGCAGATTCTTACAGTAAACACGAACCTACACAGGCTCAGATCGTGGGATAATTACCTGAGCAAAACACTTGAATTGACTTCAATTCAATTAACAAAAACATTAACTCCCAAAACAGAAGAAATACCTGGTGTAGATCAACAAGGTATTGAACAGATTCATTCTTTGTCATTCTCACAAATTTGCCTAGTGTTTCATAATTCCACCACTGGTATTTAAGAAAACACATGCGATCGGAAAAGGGATTTCACTGCCTCAGAAAAAAGAAATCAAGGACATTGTTGCATTTTCACTTCTTACCGTATTTCGCATATTTGCTGCAGTGGGCATCACCTGACTCCGTAAGTGGTTGTGCAATTCCACGATTTTACGCTTTTCCTCTGAAGTCAGCTGGTGGCCTCCAGTGAAACTGATCCTCCCCAGCAGGGCGCAGAATAGAGGCACCCACAGCATGTCCCTCATCTGCTCTGGGCCAGCGAGAGTGTATATCTCTGTGTGTGAGAGGAGCAGGCAGTATGTGAGAGCTCTGACTGACAATCGCCTTCTGAATGAATACGGAGCTCTGCCTTCGTCTGCCTTCGAGGCTTTTCTAAGGTTGCACA